GAGATGGCTCAGTGGTCTAAAGCACCTACTTAGAACAAGCTTAGCAAAGCACAGGGACCACGGTTCAATCCCCCAGCACCACACGCCAGCCAGCCTCACTCCCTGGTGGGCTGAGCTGGCCACACACACACACACACACACACACACAAATAAAATAAAATAAAAAATTAAAAAAATATATATTTTCACTGAGCCAGGTGTGGTGGCGCATTCCTGTAATCCTGGTACTCAGGAGGCTGCAGCAGGATTGCCATGAGTTTGAGGCCAGCCTGTACTCCATAGCAAGGCCCTGTCTCAAAACTAAACAAAAAGCAACCCTCATTATATCAAACTCTTAAAAATTGTGTTTATTCCCAGGCATGGTGGCTTGCTGGAAGGCTGAAGTAGGAGGATCCCAAAGTTGTGCCCACCTGGGAAATTTAGTGACTTAGCTAGACACTGTCTCAAAATAAGACAGGTCCAGTTGGGATGTAGGTCAGTGTGAAGTCTCTGAGTTCACTCCCCAGTATTAGGGGGGAAAAAAAAAAAGATTGAGGGGAATGGGCCCAGATAGCAAAAACAACTTTGCCAAAGTAATCTGCAACAGGAAACCACTGCATGATCTGGGTTAGGGAGTGATAAGATGAAAAAAGAGTTTAAGGAAGATGTGTACAGTATGGTCATATCTGAATGCCATATGTTGGTTTAGACTATACAGTTTAGAGAAGGTATGGCACTTGGTTGGCAGTATCACAGAGAAATAAAGACATAAATGAAACCAAAGACAAGAATGAGAGTAGGGGAAGAAAAAGGAAAAAGGGGGGGGGGGGGAGAGAGAGAGAGAGAGAGAGAGAGAGAGAGAGAGAGAGAGAGTAAGTAATAGGAACAGAAGGAAAAGTGAAGCAGACATTGGTCTCATATTAAAAATGAGGTCCTGGCCAGGGAGACAGCTCAGTAGCATAAGCACCTGCCTCGCAAGTGCAAGGTCCCAAATTCAATCCCCAGTCCCACACACACAAAAAATAAATAAATACTAAAAATGACATTCAGGAGGACTGATGGGGTTAACTTGTGGTGGGCATTGGGAAGATCACTTATGGCAGGACTACAGAGATGAAGTGACAAAACTTAGATCAGGAAGCAGTTAACTGTAAAAGATTACAGACATACGCAAGAAGTAGCTATATCCAGATGTGGCAGTACACAGCTGTAATTCCCCATTTTATTTTATTTATTTTATTTTTTATTTTATTCCTATCTTGTGGAGGCCAAGATAGGAAGATCACAAATTTAGAGCCAACATGGAGAACAGCAAGATTTGGTCTCAAAATAAAAAAAAATAAATAGAAAGAGCTGAGGATATCGCTCAGTGCACTCTGGGTTCAATGCCCAGTGATACTAAAAAGGAAAGGAGTAAGCAAGTCACTACAGAGAGAAAAATTGATATATAAATAAAACATAAAGGAACCCTAATAAAAGCTGTCATTTATATTGTAATTAAAAGCTAACTGCTTTCATATGTATTTTAATCTATTAAAAAATGTAGAGCCAGGAGTGGTGGCATATAGTTCTAATCCCAGAATTTGGAAACTTGGCACAAGAATAATTGCAAGTTTAAGCCTAGCCTAGGCTACAAAAGTAAATTCAAGGCCAGCCTGAACTGCACAATGAAACCTTTGCAAAAAACAAAAACAAACCAAAAAAAAAAAAAGAAAGAAAGAAAGAAAGAAAAACAAAAACAAAAAAAAAGCAAAGGCAGGGGGAAAAAAAGAAATGCAGGGGAAAAAAAAGTAAAGAAATACAGGACAGAGATCTCTCAGATGTAAGGTTGGCAATTATAAGCCATGAGTAAATAAAATTAGATTCAAAGAAAAGAGACAAAATCTAGAAAGAACCCTGCTATTCAAAGCACAGGTATTTCTTTGACCAAGAGCACCAGTAGCTCTTGGAGCTTTTCAATGTCTCATCCAACCAACAAAATCAGAAGTAATAGTTCAAGTTTGAGAATACTGTAATATTTCAAAGTTTGAGAAGTCCATCTGGAACACTTTTATTTTTAGAGATAGGATCTTGCTGTTTAGTTGAGGTTGGTGTTGAATTTACTATGTAGCCTAGGCTAGCCTCAAACTCACAGAAATCCTGCTTCAGCCTCCTGAATGTTGAAATTATAGGCATGCACCTAGTTTGGAACACTTTTAAATTGTGGGTTTCAACCCATCAGTAAATAATGAACCTACTTAAAATAGAAAATATCAATATCAAGAGTGTGTCACACATAGTAAGTTGTTTTGTCTGAAAAGGGCCTGGCTAAACCTTCTTAGTGTGTTCAAATAATTAAAATCTTTGCTGGGGGTTGTGGCACAAGCTTATTAACCCAGCACTGTGGGAGAATGAGCCATGAGCACACTCTGGGAAGGTGAGGCAGGTGGATCACAAGTTCAAGTCCTTGCATGGGCAACTTGGCATGACTATGTCTCAAAACAAATAAGGCAAAAGGATGCCTCTCAGTGTCAAGGCCCTGGGTTCAACTTCTAATAGTAAGAATAAATAACTACAGCAAAGGCTGCATATGGGGCTAGAGAGATAGTTCAATAGAATAAGCACCTGCCTGGCAAGCACAAGGTCCTGAGTTCAATCCCCAGTACCACACATACACACACACATGGTGGTGCATGCCTGTAATCCCAGAGGGAGATGCTGTCTCCAAAAACAAAAGCAAAGACAGAAAATACCAAAGCAAAAGCATAGTAATAGCTCTTCTTTGAAGAAGACAGAAAAATGTATTGAGCATTTGTTAGTTTCTCAAATTTTGACAATGAACCAGATTAAGAAATACATAAGGACTAGTAACATGTAACACAAAATGAAAACAAGTTTCACAAAACAATCCCCGTACCTAGCCATACACTCTACTTTCTGTATTTTTAAAATGGTGCTTAGAATCCAAAAATTCTTTTACAGATCACCACTCAAAATTTACAAAATAATGACCTTCTTCATGCTTTTGGGCCTCAAACCTTTCTAAGGGCTATCTTGGAAGTTCTGCAGAAAAGAAACTTAAGAATTGTGATAATAGGGGGCTGGTGAGATGGCTCAGTGGTCTAAAGCACCTACTTAGAACAAGCTTAGCAAAGCACAGGGACCCAGGTTCAATCCCCCAGCACCACATGCCAGCCAGCCCCGCCCCCTGGTGGGCTGAGCTGGCCACACAGACACAAATAAATAAATAAAATTTAAAAAAAAAAATTGTGATTATAGAGCCAGGCATGGTGGTTCACTCCCGTAATCCCAGTACTCTGGAGGCTGAAGCAGGAGGATCACTGCGAGTTCAAGACCACCTTGAACTACATAGTGAGGCCTTGTCTCAAAAAACAACAAATAAACCAACCCACTCCCTCCAAGAAACCCAAATGCTATTATATATAGAAAATAGCCGACGAAATGTTATAAAAAAAAATAGTGTTCAGCTGCATCAGTTACCAGCCCTCCCCCAACCCCCATATTTCAAAAAAGCAGGCAGGACTTTGGTAACTAACTAGCTTCAGTCAAGGAAGTGAGGCTGGTCCTCAATGCCTCTCAGAAAGGAAGGTGCTTACTTCGGCTCGAGAAGGCTGGTTGTGATAACATACCTTGCCAACTCCACCAGCAACGTCCTAGCCTGGCCCCTGGGACAGCCCAGTTTCTCTGGCTAATATTTTAGCGCTGCGCTCGAAGCAGCCTTTGTTAGGGGTGGAGAGAAGCAGGTAACCTGCAAAGGAAGCATGGAGGGCAGAGACCGGGAAGATCGGGAAGCCAAGCTACTGCTAGGCCTTCTCTGTGGCTGCGGAGGTTAAAAGAGCCTGGACAAAGGCGGTTTCCCTGTGGGTCCTAACAGCCCTAGCGAGAAAGCAGGGCCCGCAGAGACCCCGGGCTCTTCAAGCGGGGCCATTTCACGGCTCTCAAATCTCTCGGGGGTCCCCTTAGTTCCCACTGCGCCCCGCGCGGCATCCCGAAGCTGTCAGCGCCCTCCAGGTTCAGGAGAAGCGCGTTTCGCGGTCCCCACATCCCCCAAGAGGCGCAGAGGCCAGTCAGATACCACTGAGTTTGGGGTAGCTTGGAACATTCTCCTACCTTCACTTTAATTAGCATCTTCTTCTCTGGTTGAGGTGGTGTGCGGATAAATTGGTGCGTTTCCCGCTGCGGGCAAAGCTTCGGCTTCCCAGCACGCCTAAGAAAGTCACTTCTGCTTCCGGGTCACGCGGTGGCTCCACCTCCCCCTGCTTTCAACGCGGTTTACGACTCAAGATCGAGCTCTCGTTACGTTTCAGCGCTGTGGCAAGCAAAAAGAAAGCAGCCACCTTAGTTATAGCAGTGATGAAGCCCCCACGATTATCTGAGTCTCCGCCGAGCCAGGATGGCAAGAAGCTGGGACTGAGGGGAACGCTTCTCCCGTCACACCAGGAAGCAGCTCCATCCGTTGCACCCTGGGAGTTGTAGTTTACTTCCGCCCCGACGCAACAGCAGCTCCGGTGTGTGAACTCTGTTACCCAGAAGACCGAGCAGGTTCGCCCCCACCTAGAATCCCTCGGTTAGCCTTCCTGCAGGCATTTAGCGGAACCTGTTGGGGTGGCTCGCAATACTTAGCAGGGTTGCACGAGGATAGTTGCTAAATTACGAGACCTTTTGGTCAACTGCCATTTTGGCTAAAGCAATTGTGAGTACCCCCATGCCGGAAGCTGATTATTTTTATTTTTTTTTTATTTTAGGACAGGGTGTACAGGGTCTGACTGCGTAGATCGGACTCGTAGTTATCCTCCTGTTTATAGCCTCCCAAAATGTGGGGATTACAGGCACGCGCCACCACTCAATAGCAGTCTCAGTGCGCCCCGGGGCCGGGCCACACAGCAGGCCGGGGGATCGAACTCCCGACCCCTGCGTCTGCCTAAGCAGGCGCTTTAATCCGCTGAGCTATTTGGCCAGCCGTCTTTCCACTTTCTTTTCTTTTTTTCCTTTTTCTACTGACCTATCTCCCCGACCCCTCTTTCCACTTTCTAAGTTAGGTCTTACTCCAAATTGGTCTTTGCAGGGGGTGGGAGGAGGAAGTGTACTTGGGTACACTCAGCCCCATTGCAGTTCTAACAGTTAATAGTTGGGATAGAAGTATCAAGGGTCAGTTGCAGCCATAGGACGGTCCTGGCCACAGGCTTAAGGAAGGACACCTTGACCTACAACCTGGACCTCCACAACTAAGCGGAGAGAAGGGCCCCTGCCCTCAGTCCAACAGGGCATTGAAGCCGAAGGGGATATTGGTTCAAGTCCCTTTTTCTGATTTCCACCGTTCTCGCGTCCGCGTTTGTGGCTCCCTTTAGTTGCCAGCCATGCCTCATATTGACAACGATGTGAAACTGGATTTCAAGGATGTTCTGTTGAGGCCCAAACGCAGCACCCTCAAGTCTAGAAGCGAGGTGAGCCAGTTTACATAATTTCTTTGACCCTATGCACCATATGGGCCAGGCAGGGTCAAGAAAGTTGCCTGCTTCCCGTGGTAATGTGATACTTATTTTCCGGATGAATGACCAGCCTATTTTCTGTTCACATCTGTAGGTGGATCTCACAAGATCCTTTTCATTTCGGAATTCAAAGCAGATGTACAGTGGCATCCCCATCATTGCTGCCAATATGGATACTGTGGGCACCTTTGAGATGGCCAAGGTTCTCTGCAAGGTGAGACTTCCTCATACCTGTTACCTGCTAGTGTCTGTGTCCAGTTAGCCTAACTACCTGCGGAGGTGTTTGTGTCCCTACTCCCACTTCCAGTCACCTCTCTTGAGCAATGAGAAGTGAAAATGGTGTATTTAGTATTTTTAGTAGAGGCGTATTTGATCAGATCGAAAGTCTGAACTTTGAGATTCAAAATAAAATTTTGCCCCATTTTTCTTTTTTGGCAGAACCAGGGATTGAACACTGGCTCTTGTGCTTGCCAGGCAAGCACTTATTCCACTGAGCCATCACTCCAGCCCCATTGTTTAAACAGAACTTTCTCTTTATACCTGATCACCCTTTTCCACTACACAGATCACCCCCTCCCATCATGCCTGTCCTTTCAATCACAAAACTGTTTGCAACATTAAACATTCACTGTTTTCGTCCAGAAAAGTTTGAATATTAAATTTTCATAATTTAGAATATTGTAAAGAAAAATTAATTTTTTTGAGATTTTTTTTTTCTTTTTTGAGACAAGGTCTTGCTGTGTGGCCCAGGCTGGCATCAAACTCACAGCAATCCACCTGCCTCAGCCTCCCAAGTTCTGGAATTACAATTGTGTGACACCCCACCCAGCTGAGAAAGAGTTAATCTTAATACCTACTTCTCCTTTTTAAAAAAATCTTAAGTCCTGGGTTCCTGGGAGTTGCTCTGATGTGCCCCAAATGAATGTTTTATTCTTTTTTTTTTTTTTTTTAATTTTTATTTATTTATGTGTGTGTGGCCAGCTCAGTCCAACAGGGGGTGGGGCTGGCTGGCATGTGTTGCTGGGGGATTGAACCTCAGTCCCTGTGCTTTGCTAAGCTTGTTCTAAGTAGGTGCTTTAGACCACTGAGCCATCTCACCAGCCCCATGAATGTTTTTTTCTTACATACAGGTTGTTCGTATTGAAAATGGAAGACACTACACCAGTCAGTATTATTACCTGCCTCTGTGCTTGTAGCTCAGAAGGTAGATAGTTCCCTGGGCATTCTGAGAACTTGTGCACACTGCTGGTTAATTTATGTAGTCCTAGTTGATGGATTCTGTTGCTGGCTGTTGCTGTTAGCCTTATACACTTCATCTCCTTGTGTCCAGTAGTGTTTTCTGTGTCTTTGCGGAATGTCCAGTGTGATTTCTGAGTTTGACAGTTATGCAGTTTTATTCATGTTGCCACTCACTGTTAAGGAACTCAGATGTCCATTGCCTGCCTGCCTGCCCTGACTAACAGACTGGGGAACAGTAAATATGACTGTAGAGTTAACAGACTTGCTATAATAAATGACCCTTGTTAGAGACTGTCTTAATTCTTTGAGATTGGCTATCAGTATTGCTAAAGAAACCAGATTTTAGAGCCATATCTCACAATAATAAAAAGGCTGGATGCAAGCAAACCTCTTTCTAGGCTTGGCATATATGGGATGTGCTCATCATGACACATTATGCCAGAGTACTCAGACCTGTTGATTGGCTGGAACAGTGACGGCAAAACTTTGAGCTTTCAATGGTAAAAAACAGCTGGCTGTGGCATGCGTTCCAGAGGTTGGCACCACTGGCCTAGAACAACTTCTTGTACCAGCATGTTCATGGTATAGCTTTACTGAGAGAGAATTTAGTTTTAGCTTTAGCTAGTGGGGTTTTTTGTTTTTGTTGTTGAGACAAGGTCCGCTATGTAGTCCAGGCTGGCCTCAAATTCACAGCCAGCCTCCTGCTTCTGCCTTCTGAGTTCTGGGACTACAGGTGTACACCACACACCTGGAACCAGCTTTAGCTAGTGTTGATAACCTCTGAGGAAGTATAGCATTTCCTGGAGCCACTCATACATAACTTTCTTGCGTTTTTGTTTTTTTTTTTTTTCAGTTGTTGTCATCTATTCGCGTGTTTCCTCTTTAAAAGCTCAAACACCAACATTCAAGTCCTTTTTTTTTTTTTTTTTTCAGAACTGGGGATTGAACTCATGCCCTTGTGCTTGCCAGGGAGGCACTTATTCCACTGAGCCATCTCCCCAGCCCTCAAATCCTTTTTAATGCTTTTCTCAAAGTATTGGGATATTCCTTGCCATCTGCTGAATTAGAGAATGGGAACCTGATGAGTCATTATATCTTTAGTTTGGTTGAGTAAAATAGATGAATGATACATGTTTTTCATGTTTATGTCCAAAAGAAGAAAATGTGTCCTCTAGTAGAAAAGGAGAAAGGATGAGATGGCACTTTATCAGCTCCATTAACCTTAAGACCTTACCTTTTGACTTACTGAATTACTGGTAGAAAGTAGACCAGAAGATACCAAAATTGGATTCATTTTCATACTAGGTTACCTTAGGAGAGGCCAAGCAAGCGAGGATATCTGGTCTCCCTCTGGTTTCTTCATACTTCCTGTGTCCGATACTTGTTCCATTATATCAACAGCTTCACCTTGTCACTTTCTAGATCAAAAGCATTGTATGTGCTAGCACATCAAATGCAGTATAGATAACTCAGTAAACTGATAAGAATATTTGACAAATACTAGCTTATATGTTAAAGTCCTACTGAGATTTTTAGGGAGAATTACTGAATTAAATCCTAGCTTAACCATGAACTTTTAAAAATGGCATTTCAAATTCCAGTATTTTCTCTCAGAATATTAAAAAACTCTGTTCTAAGAAGGGGGACAATTGGGGCCGGGGAGATGGCTCAGTAGAAAGTGCTTGTCTGGCAAGCACAAGGGCCTGAGTTCAATTACAGGTTCTGCCAAAAATTAAAAAAAAAAAAAAAAAAGGAGACAATTGTTTCTTAGCCTTTTGGCTAAGATCAAGTGAAAGAGACAGTAATCATTTTCTCCTTTTTGTTGGTTCTTTCTTTTCCCCAGTTCTCCCTCTTCACTGCTGTCCATAAACACTACAGCCTTGATCAATGGCAAGAGTTCGCTAGCCAGAATCCTGACTGTCTTGAGGTAACACTGGGCCTACCCTGCTCCCTTCCCTAAAAGGAATCCTTTTTTGGCTTCTTGGGGACCAACCCTTGTGCTTACCCCTTGTAGGCTGCTTCACCAGATCATCTCTGATACAATGCCACAAGCTGGTCTAATGCTTGATACCAAAAGCCCTGTTTTCCTCACAGTATCTCGCTGCCAGCTCAGGCACAGGCTCTTCTGACTTTGAGCAGCTGGAACAGATCCTGGAAACTATTCCTGAGGTGAAATATATATGCCTGGATGTAGCAAATGGTTACTCTGAACACTTTGTTGAATTTGTAAAGAATGTCCGGAAGCGCTTCCCCCAACACACTATCATGGTATGTGTGTTTTGTTTTGTTTTGTTTTTTCTGGCTGGGCCAGCTCAGCCTGCCCTGGGGACAGGGCTGGTGTGGCATATGGTGCTGGGGATTGAACCTCAGTTCCTGAGTGCTTGCCTAAGTAGGCGCTTTAGACTGCTGAGCTATCTGGCTGGCCCCATGTTTCTAAGTTTAAAATATAAACTGATTAGTGCAATATCTCTGACCCTTCATTCTTAAGTCTTTGTAAATCTAGTGTCCCTAACCTCACCAAACCACAATGAAACTGTACATACACATCTACTCAATGAAATGGATATGTATTACAATCATGTAAAAGGTGTAACATTAAACAGTCTTAGAAGTTAGGGGAATAATGATGAGGCCTCATCACTGACGTCGGAGGTGTCTTTGTATTGTCCTTCAAAAGCAAATACAATCTGTGCATGGTGGTACATGCTATAATCTCAGCAGTTTGGATAGCTGAGGCAGGAAGACTTCAAGGTCAAGTCCTACCTTGGCATTTTAGCAAGACCCTGTCTCAAAATACAGAAGGGGCTGGGGACAAAGCTCAGTGGCTGAGGACCCATGGTTTTGATTCCCAGTACTACAGAAAAGTAAAAAATGCAAGTACAGCCAGGCATATGGGTATGTAGCCTACACTGCTATTTCTGCCTCCTTTCCCTAAAGCCTAAGCGGTTCTACAATACAATAGGACAGGATATGTCTGATTTACCTGATGGTGAAAAGGAAGTAAGTTTACTTGTAACTCAGACCTGAGTTTGGTCTAGCTTTGCCTCACTACTGATCATACCACTTTACTGCGTGAAGCATCGTAATGCATCTTGGATCCTGGTTTTACCGTAGTGTAAATACTGGTCATGCTTCTTTCAAAACACCCTGCTTCCCACCATTCTTCTTACTGCACTGTGGAGACTGAGAGGAAAGGGTTAGGAAATACAGCCCTTTGACTAAAAGCTCTTAGAGGGCTCAATGGAGGACACAGTGGTACATTCTCTTTGTTTTTTTTTTTTTTTTAATTTTTTTTTTTTTTATTTATTTGAGAGAGAGAGAGAGAGAGAGAGAGTGGTGTGTGTGTGTGTGGCCAGCTCAGCCCACCAGGGGGCGGGCTGGCTGGCATGTGGCGCTGGGGGATCGAACCGCGGTCCCTGATGCTTTGCCAAGCTTGTTCTAAGTAGGTGCTTTAGACCACTGAGCCATCTCTCCAGCCCCTTCTCTTTGTATTAACATTGGAAAGTCAGTGTCCAGCCATGCTGTCTATGAAAACATCCAAGTTCCTCTCCATTTCTATTTTGATTGCTGTGTCTCAGGCTGGGAATGTGGTAACAGGAGAGATGGTGGAAGAGCTGATTCTTTCTGGAGCTGACATCATCAAGGTGGGAATTGGGCCAGGTAAGCTGGTTCTCTGTAGGCACTAGTGAACTCTTTGGTGGCCAATATCTGTGAAGCACTTCACTCTCACCTTTGTCTTGTCCTATGCCAGGCTCTGTGTGTACAACCCGGAAGAAAACTGGAGTGGGATACCCACAGCTCAGTGCCGTGATGGAGTGTGCTGATGCTGCTCATGGCCTCAAAGGCCACATCATTTCAGTAAGACTTAAGGGTTGGACTGGATATGAGGTTGACTTTTCTGCAGTGTAGCGGCTCTGGTAGAAATAGATCAGGATTCCTGCGTTTCCATCAGCTTTAAGGTGGGTCATTAGGATGTTGCCAAGGAGGCTTGGAAAATCCATTGCTGTCCCCATAAAGTTTCTCTTACTTTGCAGGATGGAGGCTGTAGCTGTCCTGGTGATGTGGCCAAAGCTTTTGGTAAGAAAACTGGGAAGACACAGAAAGATCCTGTAGAAGAGGATGATTCACCTCTGAGGGCCTAGGCTAGGATGGGTTCAGGAAGCTATACAGACTTCTGTAATACGAACTGATTACACTGACACTTTCCTATGGTTATTACCCCAGTGCAAACCAACAGCAGAAATCTGACTCATTTGGATTCTCCAAATGAGGCCATATGTGCCAGTACCATCTCCACTGGCCACTAAACTTGAGTGTTCACTAAAGTATTGCATAATTTGTAGATTCCTGGGCCTCACTCAAGCCCACTAAAATCAGCCTCTGAAGAATGGGACTAGAAGTCTGCGTTCTTCAGATTCCCAAATGATCCTTACACTAATGTGGGAGACCTCTAGTCTAAGGAGAGTGGAAGTCTTTTTCTTTTGGTACCAGGAATTGAATTCAGGACCTCATGCTTGCCAGACAGGTGCTGTGCCATTGAGCTATATCCCTGGCCTTAGACTTGAAGTCTTAATCACCTGGAAGCAGTAAAAAAATGACCAGCAGATTGCAAGAAGAATAGAAGTCAGACAGGGACTTCCCAGAGGTTCTTTTAAAAATGTTGCAGAACAAGTCTGCATCTTGTACAGCAAATAACCACTAAGAATATATGCAGTGTATTATTTGTTGAAACTGTACTTTCGATTTGATTTGAAACTGTCTCATTGCTATATGTTTATCAATAAAACTTTGAAAA